CTATAGTGATTAGAAGCAGCACATGATCTTTGTACTACATAGCATAGTAGTAAAATCATGCTATAGAGTTGTAGTTTGTAGTTATTTTGTGGTATGTATTTAATTATTAAGCTGTTTGTTTGTTGCTTTGTACTTGTCCTTTGCTCATTCCTGCTGCATTAATTACTGGCAGCTAGGTTACTCCAAAGATAAAAAATCTAATCAAGCATCATCTAATGTAATCATAGTTTTAATAATTGTGTGTACAACAAGTAGCCACAGTACTATCAATATAATAATCTTGTAACTTGAGAGTGACACAAAGGCATTGAGTTGTAGTGGAGGAGTGAGACGTTGTCAGCTATTGGGAAATAATGCTTTAGTATCCAGGGAATATTAATTTGTTTGATATTAGGTTTAGTTTAGTCAGGGTTTCTGCTAAGTAAGCTAAAAGTATGCTTTTTGAGCTGACAAACCTTTAATGGCATATGGAGCAACTTTAAATTTTTCTAGATCCACATTATAAGAACATGTACACCTATATGTATCAGAAAAAGTTTTTTAATGGAAGATTCTCTCCTTTTTAATTTTGGGAAAATTTGCTCCAAGACTGTGCACTATAGTACAGGGACTTTTACCCAATTTTGGGGCAACTTCAAAAATTTGTAAAAAAATCTAAATTTGATCGGAATCAGCTCAAACTTTCTACACAACATACAAACATATCAGAAAACATAATAAGAATCCTACCTTTGCCATGTTTGGTGAAATGTGACAAATCCAGTATGGTATTTTTTGTCAAATTTTTGAGCAACTTCAAAAAAACCAGCTGATAAGAAGCTAAGCACTGTGTCAAAATCCTGTGTGAAACCCTGGGCTTATCTTGTGTGTGCTGGGGCATGCTTCTCATGGAAGAACATTGTTTTACACACCTTGATTATTGTCTTTGATAACAACCAGCTCATATTGTCATTTCTCTCTCTCTCCCTCTCCCTTCCTCATATTGTCATTTTTCTCTCTCTCTCTCTCTCCCTTTTCTCTTGTAGTGATGGGACAGTTCCATCATGATAACGTTGTTGTACTGTATGGTGTCATTAGTCGTATTGATCCCGTTATGATTGTAATGGAATACCTACAGAATGGATCACTGGATCGATACCTTCAGGTAAGTACTACATTACAGTTTCAATAGTACATACATGTATGTTTAATGATAGTACGTAATTATGATCATAGCAGTATAAATTTATGTTTTATATTATCAGTAGTATTATTTATGCTTTTTATTAGAAAAATTTGGATAAGATTAGTCACGAAAGGCTAGCGAAAATGTCGTACGGAGTAGCAAAAGGAATGAAATATCTTTCTTCAATTGGATTCGTACACCGAGTGAGTCTTTTAAACACACGCATCTACATGTACAGAGAATAGAGTAATCTAATCTATGAAATACATTTACAAAATTTTACTTCATCTTTTAAATTTTTTTAATAGGATTTGGCTGCTCGTAATATTTTGGTTGCTAACGATGAGACGTGTAAAGTAGCTGACTTTGGTCTGGCAAGGGAAATGGTTGAGAATGAGTATGATGTCCAGAAGGTGAGGCTATACTCAGAGCTCTAGTAGTAGAGTTGTCTTCTTTGAAGCATAAAATGTCCTTAAATTTGATAGCAGGCCAATATGCAGTTGAATGAATTTTTTTAATTATGTGTATTAGTATTTTTTAATGTAAGCAAGTCTGAATGTACATTTACATACATTTATCTATATGTACATGTACATTTGTGCATTTATTATTACACAAAATTACATTGCCATTTTGTTTAATGTACATGTATGTACTAGGCTGTAAAATAACGTTGCTTAAATTAATTTTTTTTTGCTGTAAAAATGGGCAACTTTAAAACCCATAAAAATCCAATTTTTATTAGAATCGGCTCTAAAAATGTATCAGAAAAATTGATAATTCTTTCAGTGACTCATACACTGTACATACATTATGTAGGGTGGGAGGATCCCTGTACGCTGGACTGCCCCAGAGGCTATATCTCATCGGAGCTTCACTACAGCGAGTGATGTATGGAGCTATGGTGTGCTCCTGTGGGAGACATTCTCATTTGGGGAAACACCATACGATGGATGGGACAACGCAACAATATTTCAAAGACTAGAAAATGGAGAAAGACTTCACCCACCGAGAGTACGTCCACTACATGTACCATAGTTCTGCCTATGGTGGTCGGGGGTGGTCAGGACAACCACCTCAACAAATGAACCAACCAGTTCATCACTTAGACCAACCATCCAATTAATACTAATAACCATACATAAAGCATGATATTGTAGTCTACTAGTATGGCATACATAAATTTAAAAGGAACAATATTAGTCTCCAACCACCTCTAATTTTTTCTAGGCAGAACCCTGCATGTACACGTACTTATTTGGGGATTACCGTATAGCCACAAAGTTTCGAGGCAATAAACTTTCGCGAATCAAGCCACAAGTATTTTTTCGCGAATTAACTTTCGCGATTCTTGTTTTAAAGCACACGTGTTTATGGGCAATACGGATATTTCGCGGAATTAACTTTCACGAATACGGAAAATCTGCGAAAACAGCGAAAGTTGTACCCTCGAAATTAAGTGGCTATACGGTACATGCAACAATTAT